GTGTGTGTGCGCGCATGTACCCTGTGTGTTTGGGGGGAGAGAGAGAGTGTGTGATCAAGAAAGAAAGCACCTCTTCTCTTTCAGCTCCCAACATACTTGCTCTGAATGCTTTTACTCTTTTTTTAATGGATTAAATGTATTGGTATAAAGCAAAGACTACACTTAATGTATTTTCTTCATCCAATTCCCAGAGCAGCTCTGACAATAAGCAATTGTTTATCAGTATTGACCCCTGTCTTGAATGTGATATTGGAATATTGTATTTCTTTTTTTTTAAGTGTTATTGTAGCATAGCTTGCGTGTTATATTGAACATCTTGAGTTCAATTATATTAGCTATTATGATGAAATAATTGATCAGATGAAATCACTTCATAATTGCAATATAATGATCTGGGCTGAGTTTACTAGCTCAGAGTTAATGACTTTGCAATTTCTTGGTTGAACTCCAGAGACATCCCAGCAAGGAATCTATATATAATGCCACTGAGCTTTTCATGCATATAAACTGAGTCCTAATGCAGCCTTACCCAAACTGCTGCCTTCCAGATATGTTGGACTAAAAATCCCATACTGCTATGGCCATACTAGCTGGAATACCATGAATGTTGTCATGCAATCTATCTGGAGGGCTCCAAATTAGGAAGATTTGTTTTTTATGTATTGTTTTAATGAATTTATAAACCCCTTTGGTTGAAGCTACTCTGTACAAAAACAACAGACATAGCCAATGCAACAACAGACAGAAAACACACAATAACAGAAATACAATATACAATTATGGCATCAATTATAATTAATATAATGTTCCTGGCATGAGGAGCTCCACAACATTCAGCTCCCAAAGGTCTTACAAAATAGTCAGGTTTTTAATGAGCTTTCAAAAGACCAGGAGAGTGGGAGCTACCCCTGCCTCGAGAGGACAAACTGTTCCAGAGAAGGACAGCCCCCCATCTGTTACCTTGCAGAGATTTTTTAAACTCGTAACTGTAAAATAAATCTGGACCTCAATCCTTTTTTTTATATGGATTTTAAAATATTCCAAAATATTCCAAATGTCCTTAAGCACCTGTACTTTTCACTCCCCATTCTCAAAAGGAAGCATGACGGACAAATATGTATTGCAACTCTAGAGTAGCATTTAGGAAGTCTTTAATTCTCCTCTCTAATACAATCTTAAAATTTAAAGCTGTAAGTAGTTTACAAGATGGATAATAAAAGTAGAAATGTACTCTGTCAGTGACTCTTTTGAGAGCCCATGTTTGGGTCAATTCATTTAGAATGTTGCAATGTTCATTACAGAAGGCTGATTATGGAAGTTCCATTTCTTCAAATAGTTTCAGATTTTCAAATTCAGAGAGATTTTCTAATATTTGATTAAGGGAAAATGAATAAAAGCTCTCCTGGAAGTTCTACTAGGTTTGGACATAATTACCAAAATGTTTCCCTACTGTTGGCTGCCTAATGGGTGTTTGTGTGCTTATATTTTCAAACAACAACTTCTGTATTGAACATAAAGCACCCATATACAAGAAGGGAAATTGGTGCAATTGTTCCAGTCCACCATCTCTACCCTCCCTGTCTCCTGGAGTTAGGCACTATTACAGTACTGTGCAAAAGTTTTAGGCAGGTGTGAAGAAATTCTGTAAAGTAAGAATGCTTTCAACAATATATATTGTAATTGTTTATGTTGATCAGTTTACAAAATGCAAAGTGAGCGAACAGAAGAGAAATCTAAATCAAATCAATATTTGGTGTG